AAGGAAAGGAAATTGTGGTTTGGTGGGTGCACTGACTAGTGTTTTCTTAGAAGTTCAAAAGTTAATCTGTTTTGATAGCACGGTGAATACCCACTGTATAAATTATCATCATCTGCAAAAATCCAAATTGAATGAATGCCCTGCCACACAAAGATAATGATCCCTGGCTGGGTGCAGTAGCTTACGCCTGTAATCCTAGCACTTTGGGAGGCCAAAGCGGGTGGATCATGAGGTCAAGAGTTCGGGACCAGCCAGGCCAATATGGTGAAACCCCGTCTCTACTAAAAAAAAAATACAAAAATTATGCCAGGTGCGGTGGCTCACGCCTGTAATCCCAACACTTTGGGAGGCCGAGGCGGGTGGATCACGAGGTCGGGAGTTCAGGACCAGCCTGGGAAATATGGTGAAACCCCCGTCTCTACTAAAAAAATACAAAAATTATGCCAGGCACGGTGGCTCACGCCTGTAATCCCAGCACGTCGGGAGGCCGAGGCGGGTGGATCACAAGGTCAGGAGATCGAGACCATCCTGGCTAACACAGTGAAACCCCACCTCTACTAAAAATATAAAAAATTAGCTGGGCGTGGTGATGGGCACCTGTAGTCCCAGCTACTTAGGAGGCTGAGGCAAGAGAATGGCGTGAACCCGGGAGGCAGAGCTTGCAGTGAGCCAAGATCGCGCCACTGCACTCCAGCCTGGGTGATAGAATGAGACTCTGTCTCAAAAAAAAAACCAAAAACAAACAAACAAAATTAGCCAGGTGGGTGGCACACGCCTATAGTCCCAGCGACTCAGGAGGCTGAGGCAGGAGAATCGCTTGAACCCGGGAGGCGGAGGTTGCAGTGAGCTGAGATGGTGCCACGGCACTCCAGCCTGGGTGATAGAGTGAGACTCTGTCTCAAAAAAAAGAAAAAAAAAGATAATGATCCCTGAGGAAGGGGACAGTGAGGGCTAGAACTAGAAATGTGAAGTCTTTGGTCTCTCAATCTGCTCCTTAAGTTCTGTCTACTACACTCAACACTGTGTCACATGCAACACCTTTCCAGTTGCAAAAGAGTAATCATTTTATGGATAGATTCCCCTGGACATCAGAGAAATGACGATCTTGGCAGTGTGTTTGTTCAAATGGAGAAGCATGTCTACCTCAGTAGCAAGTGACTGCTGTGACTGTAATTCCCAACACTTAGGGCCTTTGATCCAAGCCTGTCTATGCCATGTGATAATCACTATTGGAAAATACTTGTCCATTCAGCCCACATATATTTAGAAGCCAGGTGCTGCAAGGAGAAAGGTAAATAGATGTATATCCCTGTCCTCAAAGACTCACCATGTGAACAACAGGTGAATATGTAATTGTAGTAGGTGAGGAAATTTATACATGGTTATACTTTATAGTCTGAATGGACTGGTAATGTCTGGTTAACCACTGTGATCAGCTTCTGCTTGAGTCTGGAAGGACAAAAAAAAAAAAGGTTGACTGACTACTCAAAGAAAAGCAAAGCTTTGGGCTGGGCACGGTGGCTCACAGCCAGCACTTTGGGAGGTCAAGGCAGTCGGATCATAAAGTCAAGAGAGCGAGACCATCCTGGCCAACATGGTGAAACCGTGTCTCTACTAAAAATACAAAAATAAGCTGGGTGTGGTGGCACACACCTGTAGTCCCAGCTACTCAGGAGGCTGAGGCAGGAGAATCCTTTGAACCCAGGAGGTGCAGTGAGCTGAGATCACGCCACTGCACTCCAGCCTGGCGACAGAGGAAGACTCCGTCTCAAGAAAAAAAAAAAAGAAAGAAAAGCAAAGCTTTTCAGGCAGGAGGACACCCCCACCCCACCTTCCCCCACCCCCTACTGCTTCTACACACTTACACACATGCGTGCACATGCAAAGAATGTACAACATCCAGCTGACATATAACCTGAGAAGAGAGTAGATGTGGTTGGGGGGCAATGTTAGAAGACTCATGGCTCCATGGAGATGGGGTTGGTACTCAGCCCTTCTGACTTCCAAGCCAATCCTCTTTTCAGTCATCTTCTCTTTTTGGAAGACAGCCCAGAGCCCTCTTAGCTGGCACTTTGGGTTTGTTGAAATCTGGTCTTGATAGGAAAATGTGTTGTTTCCACTGAATCAGAGAACATTTTCAAGCTGGGAAAAAAAAAAAAAAAAAAAAAAAAAACACTGTCCAGTTTTGTCTTTTTCAAGCCTAGCACTCCTACTCCCTCTAATGGCTTCTCTTAGGGCATCATCATGAACATCTTCTTCGAGATGTGATGTGGTTTGTGAAGCTGCAGTTTACAGGGAAGTGCCTGGAACTGCCCTGGACCACCAAATAAACCATTGGTTTAGTGGGTTTGCCCCTCCTGTGATCTAGACATTGCAACATCTTAGATCTAAAGGTGGGAGGTCTCAAGCAGTCTTTCAGTCTCTTTTCCATAGCTGTCCTAAAAGTTAGCTCCTTGTCCTAAAAGTTAACGTTCTCTTGAATACATTTTAATAAGTTTCCCTACTCTGAATATGTTTTAATTAAAACATTACTTTTATTAAATGTTATTTTCAATTTTATGTAAATATTGACCGAGAATTGGGTACCCAGTAATGGTAAAAAGTGTTTTTGTTCTTAGTTCTGTAATGGGTGGTAAAGGAATAAAAGTAATTCATCTGGTCTTTTGGATTGTGAGTGTCACGAAAGCAGGGAGTTGGTCTTGCTCCTCTTTGCGCTCTGACTCCTGGCACTGTATCCCAGTGTAGGTACTTAATTTTTAATCAGCAAGCATAGTACGGCTATGAGCCAGGCACAGTTCAATATGCTTCACAAATATTAACTTATTTCATCCTTATAGTAACTCTTTGCAGGTGAAACTAGTATCATACCTATATCACAGATAAGGAAACTGAGGCACAGAGATGAGAAGCAATCTGCCTACGGTCTCAGAGGGAGTGGCAGAGCCAGGATTCAGACCCAGACGGTCTGGCTGCAGTGCCCTCGTTCTCTGTCATTCTGCTCTGCTGCCTGTCATCAATGTTGAATGAGTGTATGATCACTGGATTTATCCTTGAGGAATGCTTTTGTAAATTAGGTCTTTAATTTCTTTTACCCTATAAATATGTAATGAGTGCTTACTCTGTGTCCAGCATCCTGAAAGGTTGGAGAAATATAAAGCCCTACAGAGTTTATAATTTTGTTAGGGAAGACACACATACACACGAAATAACATTGCACAGAATATATTATTATACTAATAGCTTCCATATAGATGCCATAGGAATTCATAAGGATTATATGAGATTACTAAAGGACCATATGACAGACCCTAGGTAGCCCCACAACTCCTGCTCCTGCTGTCTGTACAACCCGCTCCTGACCCCTACTGTGGATTGCTTAGGTAATAAATTTGGCAAAAATAAGAGGTTTGGCAGATGTAATTGAGGTCCTGAATCAGTTGATTTTGGGGTCAGGTCCCGGGTGGGCCTAACTTAATTAAATGAAAGCCCTTGGCTGGTCTCAAATTTCTGGTCTCAAGTGATCCTCCCACCTCTGCTTCACTGAGTTCAAATCACAGGCGTGAGCCACTATCCCTGGCCTTTACTGGCTTCAGTGAACAGACATGTTAGTGAACCCTTTGGCAAAGAACTGCGGGCAGCCTCTAGGACTTGAGGGTGGCTTCCAGATGATAACCAGAAAAAAATCTGGGTCCTTACTCATAAAGCCACAAGGAAATGATTTTTTTTTTTTTTTTTTTTTTTGACAGGGTCTCACTGTCACCAAGGCTGGAGTACAGTGGCATGATCTTGGCTCACAGTAACCTCTGCCTCCCAGGCTCAAGCAATCCTCCCCTCTCAGCTTCCCAAGTAGCTGGGACTAGAAATGCATGCCACCATGCCCAGCTAATTTTTTGTACTTTTGAAGAGACACGTTTTTGCCATGTTGCCCAGGCTGGTCACGAACTCCTGATCTCAAGTGATCCGCCAGCCTCGGCCTCCCAAACTGCTGGGATTACAGGCATGAGCCACCCCACTCAGCCAGAAATGAATTCTTGCTAACAACCTGAATGAGCCTGAACATAGGTTCTTTCTCAGTCAAGCCTCCAGATGAGAACACGGCCTGCCTGACACCTTGATTGTAGTCTTGTGAGACCCCGAGCAGAGGACCCAGTGAGGTTGACCCACGGAAACCATGAGATGATAAACGTTTGTGTTTTAAGCTGCTAAACTTGTGGTCATCTGTTATGCAGCAATAGACAACAGAGACCACGCTTAGGAATTAGTGGATATGAGGGAGAAAGGAGACCTCTCTGTTTTCCAGGTTTTGTGATCAGGGATAGGGAGAATTCAGTTATTGATTCAAATAGCGGAATCAAGAGTAGAAATCTATTGAGTGGAGGAAGGGGAGATGAAGGCGACTTCTGTCTAAGTGCTGAGTTTGGAGAAAATAAGAGTAGTCACTTATAATTTGGGAGTGGAGTTTGTGTGAGAATTCAAGGCTGGTGGAAAATTCGTTCATTATCAGCACAGAGTTGACAACTTAAATCCTCAGAACAAAAGTGTTGTCCCACGAAGGGTGTTCAGAGAAGCAGGAGGATGGGGATTCGTCTCGGGGAGAGGCCACGGGTGGGCCCGGGAGAAGGAAGGCAGAACCAAACCCAGAAGGGCCAAGCTAGGGAAGAGTCAGAGACTTGACGGATTGGCTCTGTTGCTCCGGATAGTCCATTTTCCCTTCAAGGGTAATTGCAGTGCAACCTCTAAGAGGCAGACTCCATTTTACACGTAAGAAAAGTTTAAATACCTGGACCGATACCATACTAACAGTAAGTAAAGGCTGAATTTGAACTCGCGTCTCATATCACAGCCCAAGATCTTTCTGCTACACATTTAATTCATTCTTATCATCCAAGAGAGAATAAAATGAATAAGCGGAGGGCCAGCAGAGAGACTAAGGAAGGGTCCCGGAGGTGCCTGGGAGGCGGAGCAGCCACCCGCACGCGTACGCCGCCGCCCTCCTTGACTGAACACAGGTTTCGCGGGTAGAAGGTGTGCGCAGGCGCGGACACGGGCGCATGCGCGCTCACTCCGGCGAGCCGTGCCGGCGGGGGCGGGGATACGCGGTGTGCGCGGCCGGGGGCGGAACGGAGGAGGAGGCGGTGGTGGCTCGGCTGCGGGGTAGGAGTCCGCGGCAGCCTCCGGGTAAGCCAAGCGCCGCGCAGTGCTGAGTTCCCGCACGCCGCGGAGCCATGGAGATCGGCACCGAGATCAGCCGCAAGATCCGGGTGAGGCCCGTGCCGGGCGGGGGTGGGAAGCCAGGTCTCGGCAAGCGGGCGGTTGTCAGGAGTAACGGGGACCTTGGGCCCGGGTGGACGCCGCGGCCTGGCCGCCGCTGGACGCTCCTGGCGGGCTGCAGCTCCTCCTTGTCCAGGCCGCCTTGGGCCTGGGGACATTTGCGGCCTCAGAGCAGGGCTGCGGCTGAAGTAGCCGCCGGGAAACGGAAGAACAGGCTCAGGCCTGGCGGGAGCCACCCCTGCGGCGCAGGGCGCCGCTTTGGATCCGCTGCGGGAGGTGGCGGGAGGTGGGCGCCGCGGGACCGGAGCGGGAGTGGGGTGCGGGGTGGGGGTGGTGGTGCAGGCGAGGCTCCTCCCCGCCCCCACCCGGGGGACCTGGAGGTGCGCGCACCAGTGAAGTGGCCTCAGCGCTGCAGAATCCGGTCTTGTTTTCCTAGAGCCGCCTTTCTCACATGCTCGTTTGCTCTTTTTCTCTCAGAGTGCCATTAAGGGGAAATTGCAAGAATTAGGAGCCTATGTTGGTAAGTGTATTTTGAGTTGTTAGTTTCATAGAATTTAGAGTTTGCAGCTAATTGAATTTTAGTGAATGCATATTTCTCACCGTACTTTGGACATTGGGAGAGACTCCCTTCTACCGTCTTCAAATCTTATACTCCCTGGTTACTTCTTTATCATCTTTTTGCAACCTTGTTTTTTTTCTCCCAAACCTCCTTCTGTTATGGTGTTTTGAAATTTAGTTTCCTCCATTAAGGCTCTGTCACATTTTACATAATGTTTGAGCGAATTTTATTTTATGTTTTTCCTATTCTCTCTCATTTTAAATTCTAGGGACGGGTCTCACTACGTTGCCCAGGCCTTCACTCCTGGTCTCAAGCAATTATCTGACCTCAGCCTCCCTAGGTGCTGGGAGTGCGGGGATTACTGGTGTGAACCACCATGCCTGTTTAAAGTTTACTATTCTTGTAACTTTCCTCTTGACATTTGTTTTTAGAACTCTGATTTTGGATATGCTTTTTGATGCTTTCTGGCATTGGCTTCTGTAATGGTTCAGTGAATTTTATTTTCCGATCTCTATGTTTTCCCTCTTTCTCTCCTTAAAACAGTAAAGCGGCGTTTTCCTTCTCTTTATTCTTTTATAATTTGAGTGTTTACTCTGGGTCAGGTACTGTGCTTAACTGTTGTATGTGTATTAACTCAGGATAATCCCTATGAGAAGACTGGAAGGTAAGTGGCAGTATCCTAGACTGTGTAAACAAGGAAACTGAGGCTTTGCCTACTTGAGCAAGGTTTTATGGTTTGCCCCCAAAGCTGATGCCTTCTATAACAATAATAGCTACCACTTAAGACAGTGATTCTCAAAGTGTGGGAGACTCCAAGGGTCTCTGAAGTCAAAACTGTTTTCATATTAATACTGAGATGGTATGTGCTGTTTTTCACTGCGTTGATGTTTGGATTGTGTAAAACTAATGGTTGATAAAGTTTTATCAACCATTTTATCAACTGGTCAACATAGTAACACCATAATGAAATCATATTCAAATCACTCCCCCCTTATAGTTTTTTTTTTTTTTTTAAGCTAATTATACTTAAAATGTCATTGATGAAGATGTGAAGTCCAGGGTTTACAAAATGTTTTTTATCTTCTTAGTATTCTGTGTGAGGAAATAGAAATGCTCATAAAACACTTTTATTGTGTACTGAAATATGGTTAAGGAAAATCATTTGAGTTGAGAATTAAGCTAGCCACCTCTTTCAGGGAACATCATTTTTAACTTCAAAGTACTGACAAACTGGTTACGTACACTAGGATATTTGGCAGATATTTACTTGAAAGTGAGCAAAGAACCCGTAGTCTTTGTTGCCAATCACATGTGAGCTTTCAAATGAAAATTAGAATTTTGGAAAATCTGAGTCTGCCTCCATGAACTCGACAGCTTCCCAGTACTTAAAAAATTTCTGATTAAGTAAATGGTGATTTAAAAAAATTTTATTCTTATTATTTTTTGAGATGAAATTTCACTCGTTACCCAGGCTGGAGTGCAGTGGCGTGATGTTGGCCACTGCAACCTCTGCCTCCCAGGTTCAAGCGATTCTTTTGCCTCAGCCTCCCAAGTAACTGGGATTACAGGCACCCACCACTACGCCCAGCTAATTTTTTGTATTTTTAGTAGAGACAGGGTTTCACCATGTTGGCCAGGTTCGTCTCAAACTCCCAACCTTGTGATTTGCCCGCCTCAGCCTCCCAAAGTTCTGGAATTGCAGGCGTGCGCGCCTGGCCAACTCAATGGTGATATTAAAAAATAATTATTTTCTATTACATAATGAAATATATCAACGTGCCAGTGGTTTTTGTAGCTAAGTGAACCAATATTTTCTAAATAACGAATGCATAATGTTACAAAACTGTGCATGGATTTAAGATTTATTTAAACTGTAGGGTGGGTCAGTGGATTTCTGTGCAACAGTTCAAAAAGGTCATTGATGTATTTGACATTCCACATTGCTTTAACGTTTAATAAGCTACCACTTGTTTAGTTTTGGTGTAGTGTCACAGAAAAATATCCACCTTATGTGAAAAAACTATCAGAATACCCCTTTTTCAACTGCATATCTGTGAGACCAGATTTTTTCACATTCTTCAGTCGTAAGGACATAGAACAAGATAATATAAAAATGCGAAACAAGGCCAGTCTTTGCAGTAACTTTTTTTTTCTCTTTTCTTTTCTTTTCTTTTTTTTGAGACAGGGTCTCACTCTGTGGTTCGGGCTGGGTGCAGTGGTGCAATGCACTTGGTTCACTGTGCATCTTGGTTCACTGCAACCTCCACCTCCCAGGTTCAAGCGATTCTCCTGCCTCAGCCTCCTGAGTAGCTGGGATTACAGGCACCCACCACCACCCCCAGCTAATTTTTGTGTTTTTAGTAGAGACAGTGTTTCACCATGTTGGCCAGGCTGATCTCCAACTCCTGACCTCAGGTGGTCCACCTGCCTCGGCCTCCCAGAGTGCTGGAATTACTGGCATGAGCCACCGTGCCTCATCTATATATTTTTTTGGAAAATTTAATAAAAATAATGTTACTTATGTTAATATTATTGGGTTTGTGATTAACATGTGATGGATGTATTATTTAATGAATAAATACTTTTTAATTAAAAATGATCAGTTCTAATTTTGAACACAGTAAATAATAGATAGAACCTGCATAAACCAGAGAAGGGGCCCAAGACCAGTTTGAGAACTGGTAATTTATGGAGTACTTACCACCATTTGCTGGGCACTTTCATAAATGATTTGTTGTCAGGATTGTTGTAAGACTAACAGGAGAGAATTGAGGCTCAGAGAAAATGAAGCTGAACCAAGATTTATTTATTATTTTATTCTCTCAACACTTGAACTGCATTTTTTATATTTTTCTTTGAAACAAAAAAAGTACTTCTGAAATGAACCTTTCTGCCTGCGTAGAAATACTACAAGTATTTAAGGTATTAAAGAAATTTGGCACCACACGGTGGTTCGCACCTGTAATCTCAGCACTTTGGGAGGCCGAGGTGGGTGGATCACGAGTTCAGGAGTTCGAGACCAGCCTAGCCAACATGCTGAAACCCCGTCTCTACTAAAAATACAAAAATTAGCTGGGCGTGGTGGCACATGCCTGTAATCCCAGCTACTCGGGGGCTGAGGCAGGAGAATCGCTTGAACCCATGAGGCAGAGGTTGCAGTGAGCCAAGATGGTGCCACTGCACTCTAGCCTGGGAGACAGAGCGAGACTGTCTCAAAAGAAAAAAAAAAGAAATCTAATGGAGTTTTGGGGGGCAGAGATTAGAGTTCCTGATAACAGCTTTTGCTTCCTTATCTTCTTATTGAGGTTTTTTGTTTTATTTTGTTGTTGTTTTAAATCCTAGACCTCAGTCTCATAATCATTGTAGGATTACCAAGGGAAGGGTGTTTTTTGGTTTCTTTTTTTTTTTTTCCCCGAGACAGAGTCTTGCTCTGTTGCCCAGGCTGGAGTGCAGTGGTGCTGTCTCAGCTCACTGCAAGCTCTGCCTCCCGGGTTCACGCCATTCTCCTGCCTCAGCTTCCTGAGTAGCTGGGACTACAGGCCCCCGCCACCACACCCGGCTAATTTTTTATATTTTTAGTAGAAACAGGGTTTCACTGTGTTAGCCATGATGGTCTCGACCTCCTGCCCTCGTGATCCGTTTGCCTTGGCCTCCCAAAGTGCTGGGATTACAGGCGTGAGCCACTGTGCCTGGCCTTTTTTTTTTTTTTTTTTTAAATCCTAGACCTCACCCTTATAATCATTGTAGGATTACCACCGTGAGGGTAAAACAGTGCGTTGAGTTGACATTATTTAATGTCAAAATTGAGTTTTTTAAATGATGTGGAGCTTTTGGGTCTATTTATTTGATACTGCTACAAGTTTGTTACCCTGAGTAATTGAAACCTGCCTTTAGCAAGGGTAAATATGTTCACTTGAGAAATGAGTGTTGTCTTGAAACAATGTAAATTAAAACTAAACAAAATTCAATTCTTTTTCTTGGGAAATGTTCATATATTTCCTGGAAGCTTCTTTGAAATTAGTAAACATTATTAAAAAGATTCAAGGAAGTGAATGCATGCTCAAGTTTGACCCTATAATTCAGAATGTCTAGTTTTGTAAGTATCAGTTATTCTTAATTTCCATCCTTCTAGTAATTGAAATACCTGTGGAATGAAGAGAAAAAAATTAAAGCTAAGCCGTCTTGTCCAATGTAATTCCACTAGAGCTCTGAGACTCTAAAGCTTAGAGCTACATCTATATTTTCAAGCACATCTACTTTAAGAAGAAAGTTTTGAGGAAACAAAGTTTTGATATACCTTTCCTTTTAAATAGATGAAGAACTTCCTGATTACATTATGGTGATGGTGGCCAACAAGAAAAGTCAGGACCAAATGACAGAGGATCTGTCCCTGTTTCTAGGAAACAACACAATTCGATTCACCGTATGGTATGTTTCTGAATTTTTGAGCCTCAGACCAAAGTTTGGCACAAGCCTGAGTTGATATTCTGTCCGAAGAGAGGTTCTTGACAGTTGAGTTAAGTTCACTTTGGAGAGGCAGTTTGTGAGTGATGAGGGCACAGCCTCTGTATTAGTCCGTTTTCACTCTGCTGTGAAGAGATACCCGAGACTGGGTAATTTCTGAAAGAGATTTAATTGACTCGAAGTTCCACATGGCTGGGGAGGCCCCAGGAAACTACAATCATGGCGGAAGGTGAAGCAAGCACTTTCTTCACAAGTTGGCAGGAAAGAGAAGAGTGAAGGAGGAACTTCCAGAGACTTACATAAAATCATCAGATCTCGTGAAAACTCACTGTCTCTTGAGAACTTGGGAACTCACTGTCTCATGAGAACTCACTGTCATGAGAACATCATGGGGGAAACCACCCCCATGATCCAGTCACCTCCCTCCCTTGACAGATGGGGATTATAATTCAATATAAGATTTGGGTGGGGACACAGAGCCAAATGTTATCAGCCTCTGAAGCCAGACAGCCAAAGTTGAATCCTGGCCCTGTGTCTTGCCTTGGTTTTTCTAGCTATAAAATGGGAATAGTACAATCACTTGCTTTATAAAATTATTTTGAGGATCAAATGGGCTAATATGTGTAAAGTACTTATAGGTGTCCCTAGCTCATTTCCCTAAGGAATTCTTAGTATATGTTGGCTGTACTTACTATGTTTCTTTTGTAAAGTTCTATATCTTTTTTTTTTGAGACAGGGTATTGCTCTGTCACCCAGGCTAGAGCACAGTAGTACAATCACAGCTCCCTGCAGCCTCGATCTCCTGATCTCAAATGATCATCCGATTGCAGTACCCTCCCTCCTGCACTCCCCATGCCTGGCTAGTTTGTAAATTTTTTGTTGAGGCAGGGTCTTAGTATGTTGACCTGGATGATCTTGAACTCCTGGGCTCAAGCAGTCCTCCCGCCTTGGCCTTCAGAAGTCTTGGGGTTATAGGTGTGAGCCACCGCACCTGGCCAGCTTCTGTATCTTATAGTTCCTTTTCCTGCACTAAAACCAGTTACAGATGTTTTTTTGAACTGGATTGGCTTCTTATATTGCCTTTTACAATGAGTTACCTTTTATAGGGCAAGGTTTTCTGTTTCTCACATTTCTGGTTCTAACTTTTTTAGCTTTTCATTAAACTCACACCTTCATTTTGAGTAATAATTATAGTGTAATGTTATAGCATATTTTGAGATTATAAGTTTTTTTAAGTTTGGAATTTTAAAATAGGCAACTTTGCTTTTATACATAAATTACTGTTCTATGCCTTTAGTTGAGAATACTGACAAGAAGAGTAAGATTCAACTTAAGATGCTAGGTCCTAGTACCAGGTTTGAGGTAAAGTGAAGATGAGGGCTGGAGGATAATGATGTAGCTGAGAATAGACACAAGAAATACTTTGTTAGGCCCCTCAGACTAGGAACTACCAGTTACCGTAAAAGGTGATGATGTAGCAAAAGTTAAGTAAGCAAGTGGCCTGCTAAATTTGAATGGCAAGAGGAGGCACTAAGTGGGGAGATGAGCCTGGTTAAGTTCTTGCCTTTATACCAAAGGTTGTCTTCAAGGTGTTTTTGCCCCAGTAGACAACTGTATGCTTATCAGTCTTCTTGAAATTCTGCACAGAATTCTCTGGGTTTATACATTGCACAAATTTGAAGAACGTTGTATAGTGGTCATCAGTTGTTATGATACACACACTGCTGCCTCACTGTGGGTGACCCAACCCATTTGTTACAATTTGTCCCCAGAGGTTATTCCCTCCCAGCCCCCCGCAAAAAAAGATTGTGGGGCTTTTGACTGGGGAAATTACCATTATTGTGAGTACTATTTTTTTTCCTAAAGTCCAGCCAATCTAAGATGGAAGATTGACCGAGTAGATCCTTTTCTCCAAAAACTTGATGAAATACTTTAGACAGATTTTTAAAACAGACTACTAAGTGAATTTAAAACCAGATTAATTCAACATTCTCATCTGGCCATAAATTCAGTTCTTTAACATGTGCTGATGCAAAGGGTGATGTCCCCACTTTGGCACTTTGCTTTCTTAAGTTAGTGTTAACACTAGCCCCAAACAGACTATTGTGATTATTTGGAGCCTTGAAATAATTGTGTCCGTGGGGACAGTAGCATGTGACTAGAGTTCTCATTGAAACATTATGAGATTTCTGGCATTTTTGGGGAGGTACTGGGAAGGGATGTGAGGCAAATTACTTCATTTATAACTACCAAAACAGCAAGATTACAGCCTTACAGCATCAGTTTTGAAAGTATTAGAGTGAAATGATATAGCATATTTTGAGATAACTTTTTTTAACCTCTCAGAATTAAGTTGTCCAAGAAGCCATCTAATTTAAGCAGTTAATATAAGCTGCTTAAATGGTTGTAATAATAAGCAATATTACATGTTTATGATACTTGTTTTACTGTAAGCTACAGTAAATTTTTAGTACTTAGAAAACAGGGTGACATATTTTGTAGACTAAGACTCTGGTCAGATGATATTCTTTCCCATATTTTTGCATAGGCTAGATGTTGAAAACAGTGAAGAAAAAAAATATAATTTTTTTATTGATTTCTGTAGGATTTATACAAATCCTTTTTTTAAAAATGTGAAATTTGAAAGTTAATTTTAATACAATTTATTCACTAAATACAGCTTATCAGTATTTATCTCGGCTGGGTGCGGTGGCTCATGCCTGTAATCTCAGCACTTTGGGAGGCCGAGGCAGGTGGTTCTCTCAAGTCCAGGACTTCAAGACCAGCCTGGACAACATGGTGAAACCCCCGTCTCTATTTAAAAATAATAAAAATATTTTAAAAATTAAAAAAAAAATCTCTGAATATAATGTCATAAATTTAGAGTGACGGTTGAATTGAAATCTTAATGGAGGCTTTATTGTTTTTTGTTTTTTTCTCAGGCTTCATGGTGTATTAGATAAACTTCGCTCTGTAACGACTGGTAAGATTCATAACATTGTTTTTTTTTTAAATTTCTGCTTGCAATAGCATACGATTTGTTTCTTTCTAAAGTCATTTATAGTGCTTTGGGAAAAACCCATGACTTTCAAAACAGTGGTTCATTTGAACTTTTTTAGAAAGCACATATTTTTATGAACTTAAGACCAGTAAATTTAATATAATTCAAAGATATTTAAGTGTAGGAGAGGGAGCAGCGCACTTTATCCGAAGGAAATAATTACATATGTGTGCAGAGATTTAGCCTCAAGGATATTTCAGTATTTTATAATTGAAAACAATTTAAAAGTTCAGTAATAATAAACGAAATTGTCATATTACCATGTGTGGAATAATATTCAACTATTGAAAATAATGTTATGGAAGAATAACATGAGAGTATACACACATAAGATACATGTTTTCAAAAATGTGTATATATGCTCTTCCCCCCAAAAATCAGCTTTGAGATAATTGGTGATTTTTATTTATGTTTTTAAATTTTTCTGCAATAAACACATATTGCTTTTGAATTGGTGATGAGGAAGGAAAAGACTTAAAGTAATAAAAATAGATGGCTGGGCAGGGTGGCTCACACCTGTAATCCCAGCATTTTGGGAGGCCAAGGTGGGCGGATCATGAGCTCAGGAGATCGAGACCATCCTGGCCAACCAACATGGTGAAACTCCGTCTCTACTAAAAATACAAAAATTAGCCGGGCGTCATGTTGTGTGCTTGTAATCCCAGCTACCCAGGAGGCTGAGGCAGGAAAATCGCTTGAACCAGGGATTTGGAGGTGGCAATGAGCCGAGAATGCACCACTGCACTCCAGCCTGGCGACAGAGTGAGAGTCCGTCTCAAAAAAAAATAAAATAAAAAATAAAAATAGATTAAAAGGACTGTATTTTTCTTTTCAGAACCCTCTAGTCTAAAGTCTTCTGATACCAACATCTTTGATAGTAACGTGCCTTCAAACAAGAGCAATTTCAGTCGGGGAGATGAGAGGAGGCATGAAGCTGCAGTGCCACCACTTGCCATTCCTAGCACAAGACCTGAAAAAAGAGACTCCAGAGTTTCTACGAGTTCACAGGAGTCAAAAACCACTAATGTCAGGTAAGAGTCCGGTGTAGACCTGCTGTGGGCAGATGGCTTTGTGTATGTGACATTTTTAGTAGTTTTTGTATCTTTCAGTTTGCTGTTCTCAGCAATTTTTAGGAACAGTGAAGTGATCATGAGCAGTTTTTTGAATAAAATAATGGATAAGATCTAAGTATGATTATCTTTGATCACAAATTTAGTAAATCAAAGTTTAAAGAAAGTGCAATTTCAAAGTAGTTTTGAATGGAATACCTAAAGGGAGTATCCTCAGTTTTTTCCTTGAAATTTTTCAAGTAAGCATTCTTTAAAGATTTGGAGATAATTGCCCTAATTTGGTTGTAATACATTTTGTTGTTCTTTTAAATAGGCAGACTTATGATGATGGAGCTGCAACCCGACTAATGTCAACAGTGAAGCCTTTGAGGGAGCCAGCACCCTCTGAAGATGTGATTGATATTAAGCCAGAACCAGATGATCTCATTGATGAAGACCTCAACTTTGTGCAGGAGAATCCCTTATCTCAGAAAAAACCTACAGTGACACTTACATATGGTTCTTCTCGCCCTTCTATTGAAATTTATCGACCACCTGCAAGTAGAAATGCAGATAGTGGTGTTCATTTAAACAGGTTGCAATTTCAACAGCAGCAAAATAGTATTCATGCTGCCAAGCAGCTTGATATGCAGAATAGTTGGGTATATGAAACAGGACGTTTGTGTGAACCAGAAGTGCTTAACAGCTTAGAAGAAACGTATAGTCCGTTCTTTAGAAACAACTCGGAGAAAATGAGTATGGAGGTTTGTATGTACTTTTAAATTCTGGCTTAGGCTAAAATTCAGCAGTTCTTGATACTAAATAATATATGAAGTATCTAAACACATATACCAAGTTTATTTTGTTTTATTTTACTTTTTGAGAAGGAGTTTCGCTCTTGTGGCCCAGGCTGGAGTGCAATAGCACAATCTCAGCTCATTGCAACCTCTGCCTCCTGGGCTCAAGCGATTCTCCTACCTCAGCCTCCCAAGTAGCTGGGATTACTTGCCACCACGCCTGGCTAATTTTTTATATTTTTAATAGAGACGGGTTTCACCGTGTTGGCCAGGCTGGTCTTGAAATCCTGACCTTGTGATCCACCTGCCTGGGCCTCCCAAAGTGTTGGGATTATAGACGTGAGCCACGGCACTCAGCCCCAAGTTTATTTTTAAATTGTTTTATCTGCTGTTTCTCATGATATACCAGATTTTCCTCTCCATGGCTTGCTCCTAGAGTTCTTTTATATCACATCTATATACCTTTTTGGGATTTCCAGCATTTGAGATAGCTTTAATCTTAAATTAATTCGGGGGGGTTTCAGATCAATTTTAGATTGTTCATGGTAATTGCTAGTAAGCAACCAATTAACTCTGTTTTATTAGTTTTCTCAGTAGCACTGTATGCAGCTGTTAATAAAGTTCTAATTTTTGTTTTAGCTAAAGGTTGACTGGTAGGGATAATATTTATATTTATATTATTTATTTGTTTATTTTTATGTGGTGTCTCACTCTGTCGGCCTGGCTGGAGTGCAGTGGCGTGATCTTGGCTCACTGCATCCTGCACTCCCGGGTTCAAGTGATTCTTCTGCCTCAGCCTCCTGAGTAGCTGGGATTACAGGCGCATGCCACCACGCTCAGCTAATTTTTGTATTTTTAGTAGAGATAGGGTTTCACCATATTGGCCAGGCTGGTCTTGAAATCCTGACCTTGTGATCTGCCCATGATGGCCTTCCAAAGTACTAGGATTACAAATGTGAGCCACCACACCTGTCCTCATATTTATATTTTTATACAAAACCAAGAAATACTCTGAATTTCTCATATTACTGTGTACTATTTTTTTCTTAAAATGGAAACATTTCGTAGTAGAACTTTTGTTATTTTCTGAAACTAGGTAAGCATAAATTTTATCTGATTGCAGGATGAAAACTTTCGGAAGAGAAAGTTGCCTGTGGTAAGTTCAGTTGTTAAAGTGAAAAAGTTCAATCATGATGGAGAAGAGGAGGAAGAAGATGATGATTATGGGTCTCGAACAGGAAGCATCTCCAGCAGTGTGTCTGTGCCAGCAAAGCCTGAAAGGAGGTACCTTGAACGTGGCTGTAAATTCAGCTTTAACTGCCTTGGTGGAGTCTTCTGATTTCTTGAAGAGAATAATCACGAAAATAATTTTTGTTTGTTTTTTGAGATGGAGCCTCGCTCTGTCAACCAGGCTGGAGTGCAGTGTCACGATCTCGGCTCACTGCAACCTCTGCCTCCCAGGTTCAAGTAATTCTCCTGATTCAGCATCCTGAATGGCTGGGATCATGGGTGCGCACCACCACAACCAGCTAATTTTTGTATTTTTAGTAGAGATGGTGTTTCACCACGTTGGACCAGGCAGGTCTTGAACTCCTGACCTCAGGTGATCTGCCCTCCTCAGCCTCCCAAAGTGTTGGGATTACAGGTGTGAGCCACCGCACCTGGCATACATATTTAATGTAATACCACGTAAGACTTTTTCATTGGGTTTTGAGAAACACATTAATGAGAGAAATTGCTTAACATTGGAGAGGATTGCAGAGAATATTGACTAATGTGATGGTGGAGTGAGGGGGAACAACATCAATTAAGATTCAAATTTATTATTTAAAAAAACTAAAAGGGACCTAGGCATGGCGGCTCATGCCTGTACCTAGCACTTTGGGAGGCTGAGGCAGGAGGATTGCTTGAGACCAGGAGTTTGAGACCAGCCTGGGCAATGCAATGAGTCTTTGTCTGCACAAAAATAAATTACCTGGTCATTTTGGCAGGCACCTGTAGTCCTAGACTGGATAGGCTGATGTGGAAGGATTGCTTGAGCCTAGAAGTTTAAGGCTGCAGTGGCACTACACTCCAGCCTGGGTGAGAGAGTAAAACTCTGTCTCGAAAAAATAATAGTAACGTTCCAGTGTAGTTGACATTTTCTATAAACTGCAGCTAGTCTGTGAAACCTAGAGAAGGTTGTGGTAAAGGCATAACAGATGGGTGACCTGTGGAGAACTGAAATTTAAAGTTTAATAAAAATACCTTTCTTAACTCCTTTAGACCTTCTCTTCCACCTTCTAAACAAGCTAACAAGAATCTGATTTTGAAGGCTATCTCTGAAGCTCAAGAATCCGTAACAAAAACAACTAACTACTCTACAGGTAATTTAAATGTATTATGTTTACACTTGGTAAGACATTTCTGTAATTCTTGAGTAAGCTGAAAACGATTGCTCCTTAAATTGTGGTAAAATAAAGGTGCCTGTCAGATGTCAAGACCAAGATGAGGTTCCCCTATAGAAGAATGGCTTCAAAAGGAGATTGACAGGTTTGAGAAACTTTGCAAACTGTTAATGGACTATAGTGTTTCGAGCCCCATATAATGCCTTTTATACTCTTTTCAATGTTTGTGAAATACATAGTACGTAAACATTTTGAAGAGAATTTTGATGAAGTGGGACTTTCATGTTAGTAGCATTAGATTCAACATTAGATATGAATTTATGATGTATAAATGGGAGTAAAATTGGACAATAATAGGCGGCTGAAGTTATAATTTGTTAAACAGTAGTTTATAAACAAGGTTGGTTTCTTCCCTTTTGGTGGAACTCATTAATAGAATATAAGGCAGAGAACTGACTCATTTGTGATGTTCCTGCTCCAATTGTAGTGGAAGTACTAAATCATTTTATGAGAGAATATAAAAGTATTACATGCTTTCAAAACAGGAGATGAATCAGCTGTAAGCTGATCTTATGGAAAGCTGATTCTGAAATGCAGACAATTGATGGGTGTAATTTTGTGTTGTCATTAAATTCTATACTCTGTGGCCGACCTGTTGTAGCCAATGTGTAAACTTGTGTTAACAAGCTGATGGTGATGAGCTACTCTAAAAAGATGTAAGTTTTGCTGTGGATTTCATGGATGTACTTACAGCATTGCCCTGCTTGTCCACTCTCTCTTGCTTCTCTTTTTTGTGACCCCGTTCCTAAAGTGAGGTAAACTGTAGCCATCAGTTTTTTTGTTTGTTTTCTTTGAGGCGGAGTCTTGCTGCATTGCCCAGGCTGGAGTGCAGTGGTGTGATCTTGGCTCACTGCAACCTCTGCCTCCTGGGTCCAAGTGATCCTCCTGCCTCAGCCTCTCAAGTAGCTGGGACTACAGGTGCCCACCAACTTGCCAGGCTAATTTTTTTGTATTTTTAGTAGAGGTGGGGTTCCTTCATGTTGGCCAGGCTGGTCTCGTACCCCTGACCTCAGGTGATCACCTGACTTGGCCTCCCAAAATGCTGGGATTACAGGCGTGAGCCGCCGCGCCTGGCACCATCAGTTTTTCAGTTTTTGATCCTGATACTCGCCTGTCCTCTTGGTTCTCCTCATCCCTAACTTAACCTTGAACACTAAATTCAATAGGTTTTTGCATATAGAATAAGGATTATCAGGCAAATGCCCACTCTTGACCTAATGGTATATCTATATTTCATTTCCTGATCTATCAGCAATATTAATTGTCTAGAATGATGAGAAGTTTAGAGAATTTCCATGGCTTTGAACATTTCTTTCTTTACCTAGGTTATCTAAATTACAATTTGAAACTGATACAATATCATGAAGCTAAGCTTAAATAAACCGCGTTTTGTTGAAAATGAATACATATGTACTGTATTGTATTCATGGCATGTGGTTGTATGGACGTTGTTTACATATGTTTGGATAAATAGGTCAGGTATCTATCTCAGTAATGTTGTAAGAAAAAATGAATGGTATCTATGGATTGAACTCCTCATATATATGTTATTTTCTTTTTTTTGGAGACAGAGTCTCACTCTGTTGACCAGGCTTGAGTGCACAGTGGTGCAGTCTTGGCTCACTGCAACCTCTGCCTTCTGGGTTTAAGCAATTCTTCTGCCTCAGCCTCCTGAGTAGTTGGGATTACAGGTGTGTGCCACCACGCCTGGCTAATGTTTGTATTTTTAGTAGAAATGAGATTTTACCGTGTTGGCCAGGCTGGTCTCAAACTCCTGACCTCAAGTGATCCACTCGCCTTGCCTCCCAAAGTGCTGAGATTACAGGCATGAGCCACTGCGCCCAGCCCAAACTCCTCATATGTTCTAAACCAAAGGAGGCGTTTGTATTTAGTATGACATAGTCACTGTCAAGTTTTGATGTATTACTGCATTTGTATTTCTATCTTTTTTGCTTTTATGTGAAAGTCCCACAGAAACAGACCCTTCCAGTTGCTCCCAGAACTCGAACTTCTCAAGAAGAATTGCTAGCAGAAGTGGTCCAGGGACAAAGTAGGACCCCCAGAATAAGTCCCCCCATTAAAGAAGAGGAAACAAAAGGAGATTCTGTAGAAAAAAATCAAGGTAATAACTTAAATGATATTTCACTCTTTACTACAGTTTTTTCATGAGGCATTGAATATTTTCCAGTGAATTTTTATGAAATGTTACACTTTGAAAAAAGTGATGATTAAGCCCAGAAATAGAATGAGAAGGATACCATGAGGAAGGTTCATACCAACACTTTCCAGAAGCTTTATTATTTTTTTTTTTAAGAGGTAGGGTCTTGCTGTGTTGCCCAGGCAGGCTTCAAACTCCTGGGCTCAAGCAGTCCTCCTGCCTCAGCATCCTTAGTAGCTGGAAGTGTGTACAAGTGTGTGCCACTGCACCCAGCCTTTTCTAGAAATTTTTGAAAGTCTTTTTATTGTGGAAATTTTTAATATTCTCAATAATGGAAAGCCTAGTATAGTGAGCTCTCATGAACCCAGTCATTAAGCCTTAGTTGTTATCAGAATTTTGCAAGTCTTTAGATAGCTCCTTCTTAAAGATAAATTTATTTCTGCATTCTTTCTTTTCCTTTTTGTTGATCCTACCCGTTTACCTGAACTTGAAATGTTAGTTATCTTTAAATCTCCCCCCGCTTAAGCATCCTATCTCTGACCTCCCATATGTGTCCCAGCAACCCTAATTTATCCCCTCATGCCTAACATACTTCAATTTGCTTCCAACTCTTTTTTTTTTTTGCTTTTTTCTCAGCTTTCTCCCCCAATTCCTATGCAATCTTTTGACTTTGAAAGTGTCTCTCTCATCTTCTAACTCCTTTGTGAAAGTGTCTCTCGCCGCCGCCTCATTGCCCAGAACTAACGCTGTTAGTTTGAACTTTTGGTGTCTCTGTTACCTGACCCCTGGGCCTGCACAGCCCTTCTCCACGACTCTTCAAACCTTTTGTTTCTTCTGTCATCAAGGATTCTTGTTTCTTCTGTTTCTTTTTCTACAAAGATTTGAATTTTAAAACCCCACCAAAAAAACCTATATGCTTATGTTACTTCTCACATACTTCTCAAGAACCTTTGAATGTATTTTTTCATTTCTCCAAAACTGTCCTTTAAATTGTTCCAGGTTTCATGAAACCTTATGATTTCAACATTGTCAGTTCTGTATTTGTCTCCTCATTGTGTCTCTTTAAAAAATTTTTACTGTATTGTATAGTTTGCTATGACAGTGTTATGTGCTGTTCTGATAAGTGATAGGCCTGAGGACAAGACCTATTTGGCACCCAAACGGCAAATAGGTACCAGTTGGAAAATGTGAATGGGCCAAATTGAGAAGAGTAGCTGAAACTGAGGAGGGATTTTGCACAGTACAGTGACAGATGAGGCTGACCTGAAAGGGCTGTAGTGGTCTACTCCCTATGGAGTCTGTAATGTGTTACACCAATGTTTTCTTCAAAGACAGGACTCCACATGAAAGTCTTGGAGTGGAATCAAATGGAGCAGGGAAACAGTAGAGAAAAGGAAAGAATGTCAGATAAAAATAGAGGAAAACAATAGGAAATCTCAAAGCAAGGTGCCATATTTTTTAACATCACAAAATCAGCAGAAGGAGGTTGTGGATTCTGAAGTTAGAATAGCTATCCAAAGCAAACTTTCCCCTAAAATGAACAACAGAAAAGTATCAATGTCCTGTGCCAAATTAAAAGATAAAAGGGAATAAAAGACAAAATAGCACTGTTTCAGTGAAAGCATGCTGAAAAGTATACCAAAAAGAAATACAATTTCAAAGTGAGCTAGAAGACATTATTTAATACAAGACAAAACCAAGAAAAGCATAAAACAGAAAAACTTTGAGGCTGGGTGCAGTGGCTCATGCCTGTAATCCCAACACTTTGGCAGGCTGAGGCAGGAGGATCACTTGAGACTAGCCTGGGCAGCATAGCAAAACCATGTCTCTACAAAAAATAAAAATATTAGCTGGGCGAGGTATACACCTGTAGTCCTCTCTCCTTGGGAGGCTGAGGTGGGAGGATTGCTGAAGCCCAGGAGGCTGAGGTTGCAGTGAGCCACGATCATACCATTGCCCTCCAGGGAGGCGGAGGTGAGAGGATTGCTGGAGCACAGGAGGCTGAGATTGCAGTGAGCCATGATCATGCCATTGCCATCTAGTTTGGGTGATAGAGTGAGACTCTGTCTCAAAATAAATGAAGACTAAATTAGAAAGAACTCAAGAATTGGTGTGTCTTAATAAGATAAAACATCATGCATGTAATCCCAGCAATTTGGGAGGCCAAGGCAGGGGGATCACTTGAGGCCAGTTCAAGATCAGCCAGGGCAACATAGCAAGACCTTATGGCTACAGAAAATAGTAATTTAAAAATAAATAAAGTAAAACATCTTCAGAGAAATTGGAGATAAAAGACAACATTTTACAAGTCAAAAAGAAAGGGCTCATGAGAAAGTGGCAAATATTGAATACAGGCAATAGAAATACAGTATATTTATAATAGGAGTCTCCAAAGAAGCAATATTCAGAGGAACAGAATAAGCGTTAACTGTCTTTCAAGAAGACTTTCCTGAAGTGAAAACATATTTGAAACTGTTGTCTGAAAAATTGCACAGTATACCTGAGAATATTTACCCAGAACCACAACACTAAGATGTATTATATAATTAATGAAATTTTAAAAAGAAAAAAAATCATTTGAACATTTAGGCAAAAGGGGCACATGACTTAGAAGAAAAAGAAAGGTAGATTATCATCAGACTTTTCAGCAGCATCACTTTTGTGCTGGAAGAAAATGGACTAGCATATTTAAGATACTCCAGAAAAGAAAATGTGAGCCAAGAATTTAATGTCCAGCAAAAGTGACCTTTAGAAGTGATCC